AGGGAAAGAAGCTCCCTTTGGCTGTCAGTGAGTAGATACTTCACAACCTTTATCTTTTTCTAGAAGAGACTGGAACAAAGTGATTTAATAAAGGCAAAATCCCAGGATGTCCAAGAATTTACTATTCATTATATATAACAACATCGTACTGTTAGCTTAGGAGATGCCTGTATGGCTTCTGTGCACAATTACTGATGGTACTTAGGCCACTTCAGTGCTGTCCCCAAGGTAACACAAAACTCTGCTACGTACAGCATGTGGGAACAGTAAGAGAAACTGCCTTACTCTCTGTGGAAGGAAATGGCCAAGTTGAAGGCTAGTTGATGGCTTCACCAAATCTGCTAAGCTCTCACCATGATTTGTTAATGCACAATCAGTATCTGCACCCTACTCCACTCCACTGGGCACTATCATGCACTTGCCCAGTATGACACAAATCCTGCCAGCACTGGGATTGTCTTTCACTGCTTGAAAGGCTGGCTACAAGGAGAAGCCTATACCTGTCCCCTAGAAAGGAAGGCAGTTCCCGCAGCAAGTTGTTGAAGTTGTTGCAACCTGTTGCAAGCATCTACTCTTATCTAAAAAGCTTCCCTAACAACAGCAAGCATAGATGGGACATCCTCAGGCAAAAGTGACAGAAGCTGTGGAACAAGGCAACATTGAAAACTACCCCGTATGCTTATATCAGGGCTGTATTGCACAGAATATAAACCCTTCAGCATCCAACACAACTCTGAGAATAGGCTGTGAGGCTGTGATAGGCAAACATGCATCTTGGCTAACTTCCCCCCTCATAATTTTACGGGTATGAGTATAGGTTCAGTGCGTTTTTGAAAGACAGCAGCTTTGCCAGTCAAGCGGAACTATTTTAATAGCCTCTGAACAATCCTGCTTCCCTTGGACACTTATTCACTTGCTCAGCATTAAGTAGCAAAACAGTACATTGTGGTTCAAAATCAGAATATGACCTTCGTTGCCATAAGTAATTAAATACATCAACTGATCACCAAAACGTTCTGTTCTTTCATTCATCTTTTTGTTTGATCCATGAATTATCACACATTCAATGGAGAGCTGCAATCTGGATCACAGCCAACATGCCTGATGCTAAGCAGAGTGTGAAATGGGACACACTGCCTTACCAGAATTCGCTTCTTGACGTCATCCATTCCATAATGATCCTCCTCCAGAACTGCTTGGGCTCTGGTGAGCTCCAGGTTCTCCTCACTACACTTACCCCACGGGATGGATGTCAGCCAATCCAAGTAATTCCGTGTAACACTTGACAGAAACACACAAATGAGAGTGATGTGAAAAAACAGCTCCTGCCTTCCTCCACTGCCTTCCAAAATAACCTCATCCAGAACAAGTGGGACATAAACAACTCATGGAAGGGAGACTATGAAAAGAACACCATTATCTGGGCAGTCATTGCTAACCTTTCATTATGGTCTTCATTCCCTTGTCCCTTGCCCCGCCTCCCGCCAAGCAAGCTGTTTTTCCACAGCTTTTGCTTTCCTAAGACAAAGAACTTCCAACATACCATGAAAAGACCTAGATTTCTGCACACAAGTTCCCTGTATAATGTTTTGGTGTGGAGCTGATTCCTGTCTGAAGACAACCAGGATTGTTTGTAAGCTCTGCACTACTATCAACTGTTCGGATCAGGTCATGAAACTTAAGGGTCCTCTCTGTTTCCCCAGTGGACCGAGACAATGTAAAGAAGAAACACTCCTGGCTCAGAAGCAAGGAAAAACAGCTGGATGTACAACACGATAGAGAAAGATTTAAGACTGGGAGATAAGGATGTTAGTGTGGAAGCTAACAGTAGAGATCATCAGTTTAAACAGACTGCTACTGAGAACACAACAGCACTCAACTGTTCTAAAACTCCACACACTCAGATCAGGGATTCAAATGTACAGAGGGATCTGCAAGATGCAGTAAATTGTGTGCAGTCATGAACACAGAGAAGCACAGCCTTCCCATGCTTGGCTGGCTGGTCCCAGGATCCACGCTATGGCAATCGCCACACCAGCAGTGCTTTGGCTTTTTTCTCCCAAGTACTTCCTTTGCAAACTTGCTACCACTGTTACTACTCTGAGGGAAAGGTACTATGCTGGCTGTGAAGCCCAGCGTGTCTTTCCTAGCTTCCTCTCTCCTCCTCCTAGTATATGATTATCAAGATGTTTCTCATCCAAATGACATGTCTGCTCTCAAATACAGTCTTTTACTCCATAAAAGATACTCTGTTTTAGAAGCAAAGATCCAGGACATTAAAGTGCTGATGAGTACACTGTTTGCTGTATTGTATAGCACACACCGCCTCAACAGACAAGGAATGTTCAAAGCAAGCTCAGTTTCTGACAATCGATGTCACAGATTATGTGGTAAAAGCTATTCACTCTTTTGCAATTCCAACCCTGCCCCAACATTTCAAGGGACTACCTCAGGTCGCTTAACCAACATCATGTGTTAGCAATTAGCTTCTCTTCTCTCACATCTAATGAAAACATGTAAGTACAAGACAGAAGAACCAAAATTAAGGGCTGAAGGAATCACTGCACATTTCGCAAGGGGGAATGAACTGCACAGTTCTTATCCATAGCATTAGGCTGCAAGAGAACACGTAAAATGTTCAAAAGAGGTAAACCACAGTAAAACATAGGAGATTTGGAGAACAATCGTATAGCTAGGATGTGATCATATGCTGCATTCAGGGAAAACAACTACGACAAAAGAGAAAATAAACTCTTAAAGTAACAGCTTCACGGAATTGTACTGATTTCTCTCATTCTCACAACCAACCCTGATAGCAGAGGACAGAGTCATGCACTCACTTGAATTCTGAGGAGTGATTATCCAGCAAGCCCAACTTGTTCAATTCTTCGTCAATCACATCCATGACATGTTTTGGCACTACCAGCTCCTTTAGTCGCTCACGAAATTTCTCTTCTATAGCATCCTTGTCCTCTTTTTCCAGACCTAGCTCTTTCTTAATGATCTTCAATTGCTCTTGGAGAAGATATTTGCGATGTGTTTGCTTGATCTTCTCCTCAACCTAGACACAGCAACGAATACACTAACTATCCTGTTCCTGGTACAACCCATCAAACATCAAATGCTTTCAAATACTTCTCAGTTATGACCTTCTCAGCAACTGAAAATACTACTAATTTTTTCACCCACTTTCTACTACATCCTTCCAGTCTGTAACATCCCAATTTGGTCATAAGAATACTAGGGCTTACCACAACAAAGGCCTTACTAATGTCAAGGTATACAACAGTCATTGCTCCCCCTTTGTGCTCTAGACCAGAGAAGGCAATCAGATTGATGAATCAGATTGATGAAGCACAGTTTGCGCTTGGAAAATCCCTTCCAAATCATGTCCCCCTTCATTTGCCTGTACAGAGTGTTCAGGATGACTTTCCCCATAATCCTCCCAGGGACTGAGGGCAGGCTGACATGTCTATAGTCACTCCGATTCTCTTTCTTGAAGATGGGAATGGCATTTACCTTTTTCCACTTACCAGGAACCTCCCCAATCATCACTGTTTTAAAGATGATTGAGACAACAAAATAATGACATTGATAAGACCTCTCGGCATCCTTGGATGCATCCCATCTGGTCCCACAGACTGCACGTGTCCCATTTACTTAAGAGGTCTCCAACAATTCCTACCCCAGTCCAAAAGCATTTTGCACTTAACATGAATTTTAAAAGCCCCAATTATTGGGGGTTAATAAACCCAGGAACTTTTGGCTCAGTATACACAAATCTTTGCATTTCATATACTGAGTTACCATTTTGATGCAGTTATTGTACACTGATTAAAACTTACAACAGTCAGGAACTATTGCAGTTCACAGCAGTTAGCAGAGGGTCTTTTAAAATAACATTGTGCTATTTACGCTATTATGCACTACAGACAGTTTTATGCTGTATATTTTTACACAGATGCTTTGTAAACTGCAGTCCTCTATGATTTACCTGCTTGCATGAAATTACTACTTGGACACATTTTAAACAGCAGACACCGTAGCCTCACGTCTTGTTACTTTTACAACGTGCATGAAAAACTGAATTTCTAACGGAATAAGAATATCAAATCTTAACTCTAAATAACCTCCCTTTAGAGTGTGTACCATTGTCTTGCTTCAAAATTCTTCACTGGCCATGCTAAGCACTACAGTGGTGGATATGACATAAATACATAAAAGGTATAGGTATGTGTTACTTGAAAAACTTACCTCCCTTCCAAGACGCTGCTGAAGTTTGCTCAGCTCATATTCCTTCTTTAGAAGGGAAAGGGCTTTGTAAAGCCGTTTGGGAATCTGGAAAAGATAGACACAAAATATGTTTTCAGACACTGTACTCTTAGCAACTCCCTGTGAGACAGAGAGAATAAAAAGCTCCAACACGTTGTCTGGAAGAACTCTCCAGCACCTGCATAGAAAGACAAATTGTGTAGCAATTCCACAGCATACAATCAATGCACAAAAGACAATTATTTGCCACAAAAGACGCAGAGCATCCAGCCTTTCCCTTAAGGCAAGTTATTAATGACTTACTATATCCTTCAACAGGAACCTAGTCACTGATATTAACCTATCATCAAACATAGTACTGAAGTCCCCTCTGTACTGAGGCTGGCAAAGAAACCATGACATAGACATATTTTTGATTCAGTTAGCATAGCTTTGGTTAAAAGCTTCATCTTACGCTGGTTTCTTCCAAGATGTCTTGAAGTTCTTGTGACTCTGCCCCTGTTAGTGCTGCACCCATGTCACTCAGATAGATAGGGTTATCTACCACACGTTGTCCAGCCTGCATCATCTGAAGCACAGACTCTCTGAAAAAATGGTAATAAAACCAAAAACGCTCAGTAAACTTTTACATTCATACGGGAGTATCCTTATAGCTATTTACTTGTTATGACAGAGTAAGGAAATGAAACACAGCTCAGTTTCACAGCAAAATAACTAATTTTTTAAAATTTGACTAAGCCAATAATCAGTAACAAACACATAAATCACTTGATAACAGGAATGATCACTGATAAATAAAACCAAATACATGAAACGGTCTCATAACAGATATGTAAAATTTTTGTGTGCCAGTATGCTAAAACTCTTATTATGCTCATATTACATGTATCAATGTACTTGTTGCAGTAAGCTTCATTTAGGCCTAGATCACCTGCCATTGGACTTATCATCCTATCTCATATCTAAGTTTCACATCAGGTTTTCAAAACTTCCCCTTGTGGAAGGTGTGCACGGAATTAAGCTGGGGTTATTGTTTAGTCTCTGTGAGCAGTTAACAAGGTGCAATCTTCAGGGAAGGAACAAGATAATCACAAAAGGCACACAACTACCAAACCTTGAGTGAACTATCCTAATTACTATCTAATTAACATCTAACTGGCATAATAGAAACCTGCCCCTGGGCGGGGAAAGCCCCCTCCTCACAAAAGCCCCTTCTGTAGTGAGCATGCCTAGGAAAAAAAGAAGGATGCTGTGACCTTAAGCGGAGACGGGGCTTGTGAGCACCAAGGGGAACAAGGGTGACGAAGGTAACTTTTGAAAAATACTGGTAACTGTTGCTTGAAGTGTATAAATATTTTCTGTGAGTTAGCCGAGGTGTGCCACCCTTGTGGACCTACCACCTAGCATCCAACTCTGCGCAGATTTGGAATAAAAGCAAATATCTTGACTCTGTATGTTTTTCAGCCCTCTGCACACTGGGTGGAAGAACCCATATTTGGGACAACACCCTCTGTTTCCAACAATGAACGATAAAGCTTGCATCCCAAAACAAAACTCTAAGTGACAATTCAGCAAATTGCTTCTTCATTACAGCAAAAGGACACATGGAATAGAAAATCTCAGTGTACTCCAGCCTGAAAACACACTGCTTTTAAAGCAGGGCAGCATGGTAAATACATACCTGTACAAGGGGTTCAAGGCAATGATATCCCGGATAGTTTTGACAATTTCTGCAGTAAGTGCCTATAAACACAACAAATACTTAATCAACAAAAAGACTAAAAAAGGACAGTCAAGGTCTTAGTACAAATATGACACTCCCCATCCTCTCCAGCACAGGAGCACAGAAATACAGCCCCTGGCCACCCACCTGCAATGATGTGCTGTAATGGTACTTGGTGTTGGGGCAGTTATTCCTCCTGGGAGACAAGGAAAGGCAAGAAGGGCTATAGGCTAGCTTTCTGCATGCACAGTATTTAACTCATTCTTGGCCAGAAGATATGATCAGGTTGACCACTCAAGTCACCCTGGAGCAAAGACTCAGTTTGACAGAGGATATTACACAGATTTAAGCACAGCCCAACCTCTTCATTCAGCAACTTTTTGAAGTGACCAGTTCTAAGGAACTGAGCTGTTGTAATGAAAAACCATTATTTTCAAATAATCCCCTCATGCAATGACTGAGAAGGAGGAACTGGTTTCTGAGGCCTGAAATTAGAGCCTGATTTCAGAACTCTTCCTTTTAAGCAAGAAATGTAGGTGCAACTCTATAGGACAAGTCCAGGCTTGCATGATTAATTCACTTACTTTAACCTCTTCTGTGATCTGAAAATCTTCATGAACCACGTTCTCTACTTCTACCATGAGAACTTCCTGTGAGGAAGCAGCTACAGGATCTAGTACCACTTCCACAGCTTGGTCCTTTGCTGCAGACTCCTCTTCAGCCTCTTTCTTAGAGCGCTTCTGTTTCCTTCTAACTTTCTGTTTGTTCTCAGGCTCCTCAGGCTCAACCTCTAGTTGTTTGTTTATACGAATCCTGAAAGCCAACAGAAACCAGCTACAATCAATTGTCCTACGTTACATGTGATTTCAGCTCTTCAGCATGAAAAGCAAAGAGTCTAAGTTGTATTTTCAGTAAACTAAAATGTCAAACTTTGACAAAGGTAACTGATTGTACTTGTTTAGACAAGATTTAGCTTTTGGTTCATTTTGTCAAAACAAGGTTTGATTTAGTAAAACAGTAATAATCAAGTGGTAGACAACTGTTAGGACTTACTAAGTAAATTTATAATAAATAAGCTGCCATACAAAAAGTTAATTGACCACTGAATTAGCCTATTGGTGTGTGAATGACAGGCCAAGGGCAGCTGACAGCACCTTATGATAAACTGTGTTAGCTTAAACCAGTTGCAGAAATATAAAAACAGATTTCTAATGATTAAAAGAAAAATAACCTAAATAATGTTTGTGAACATACACATGCACACAAAGCTCAATATCACAAGTTGCAGCACATGAACAGAATGATTAATAAGGTATCATTGTTAGTATGTCTGCTCAGGAGCTAGTTTCTCTAGCTACATGAACCAAAAACTCTGATGTGGATTCATACCCTCTTCTTGTCTCTCCTGAAAAGCAAGCTCACTGTTTCTGTTTCACTTTAATTCTGAATATAATGTTCTGCTTTTTCAGTTTTCTGATTCTCGGCAATCAATCTCTCTGCTTTAAACCACATCTGTTGCATTATCTGCTGTAATACTAAATATTACATACCATGTGTGTAATGGACCTCTTTGACCTTTGAAATACTGGTCTATTTCACAAAGAGATTTCCTAGATTATGATTTTGAAAGATCAAACCCACAATATATTTCCCAATAACTAATTGAGTATTAATCCCCAAAAAGGACAGGCTAGATCACATGGCATAATCACCTTCCAAAGAACTAGTTTCCCTCTTACTGTTTTTAAACTTTTCTGAATTTTGCCTGCTACCATACAACCTCATGTCAGATGTTTTCAATACAGATTATGACAGCTCTCTAGAAAGGGAACAAAATCTTGCCCTCTCCACTGGCTTGAAAGGTTTCCCCACCAAAGACAAGTGCTAGACACACACTCGGGAACTGCAATAGCCTTTGACAAAGTTGTCTTACTAGGCTGGGAATATGGAGTCCAAACAGCTTGTGGTTATCAGACTCTCAGCTCATGGGTCAACTGCCATTATAAGCAAGGTGTAGGTCTTATTTTTCATATGGTCTCCTTCAAAAAATAAGACCTCCTCAACTACTTCCATTGTATGCCACTAGCAACTTTTGACTAATCTTGACTACTCCTGTCAACAGAATAGTCACAGACAATTAAGTTCAAAAACATTTTCTGGAGGGTGAGGTTGCTGGTGGTGGGAATCAGGTTGCTGATTAGAAGAACATCCCCTCACAGGGCAACCAGAAACATTTTGTTATTTTGGCTGTGGATATGAGTGTCCTTATCTACACTTCTCCCTGTAAATGCAGCATGCTCCTCAGATTGGATATCCAGTGTGGTTCCTATGGACATGACTGACCAGTGCTCTGTGTCTCAATCAAATAAAAAAAAAAAAAAAGACCAATTCCCAACACCTTCCACGTTATAGGGAAATATTTCTACTCCAAGTAAACCAAAACCAATAGCTGCCTATTTCCAAAATCTAATCAAACAAGGTTGTGCTTTGATAATGCAGCAGAGGGTCTAAGACTTCACACAAATTCAGTTTCGAGAAGAATTGCTTATTCTTTGCTGTCCAGAAAAATGCAACTGAAGCAAAGCAAGCGAGAGGAAAAAAAGCAATGCTTCAAAGCAAAACCCACCCTGGACCTGTCTCCGCTGCCATGTTTCTGTTCTTGTATTGTCTCTTCTAAAGGAAATCAATTATTTGACGCTTTTAAAACCACAATTTTATACTGTCTTAGCTCAAAATACTTGGCACAAATAACTAAACCTATATTTCCAACAATAATCCTGTTTTCTTCAATTCAGTTCTGGGACAAGATTATGTAAATAAGACAAAATTACAGCTCTGGACCACATTTGTTTTTTTTAAAGCAAAAAGGCTTGCTTGAATTAGTTCCAGAGACTTTTTTTCACCATTACTAAACCTTGCTGTCAAAGAAACTGCTAAACTTCAGCTGAATGAATGCTTGCTTGCATCATATTACAGTTTATATGAGAATGACATGCACTAGCACTTCCTTTTTGAGGTTAACCTGTCGCATCTGTAATAGTACACAGATTATTAGGGCTGGAGCAGTGGAGCACTATCAGGATACATTGTGATAACAAAGCAAAAGCCTGCCATAGATGAGTTGTGTATGAAAATGAATATACATGGTGAAAATAAAAGGGATATATCTGTTTATAAAGAAGTCTGGTGAGATGCAGTGGAAGTACAAATAATTACCTTCGGTGTCCCATGACTATCATACGCAACTTGTCTCCAAGGTCCTGCATTTCATGAATCTGTACAAAAGTTCCCATCTGATAGATTTCATTCAGATCCTCTACCACATCAGACTCATTGCTATTGAGAAAAAAAAATCAGAGTAGATATTCAGGATCTTGAGAAAGCAGGTAAGATTTAAAAAGGAAGAAACAATCACTGGTTGCAGAACTTTAAACTGGACTCAGGAGCAAAGACACTTTTTCCCCCGCTGCTACTACTGTGTAGCCCCTTTCCAAATCACCCAACTACCTGGATGGTTCATCTCCCTCCCAAATAACAACAGCCTTTTCTAAAGCAAAACTCAAGTTCCTAGGAGTGCTGTTGGTGGCAAGGAAAACTGTCATAGTAAGTGAATGGTCCAAGCCTATATGCAATTTCTGTACTACTATCCAAGGCAGGGAATTTCAGATCATAGCTTTTAGTGTAAATGAAACTTAGTCATGGAAATAGCTTATATTTAAATTTTAAAAAAGATCAAGAGAAACAACTTACTTATCATCCTTTTTAAGAAAAACACCAGCATAAGGCTGGGCAAGACGAACTTTCCTCCTCAGCAGCTCAACCAGCTTCTTATTTTTTACCTAGGACAATAGATATGAAGTCAGAGGTGGATTTTCAGTAAGCTTTGCACCCTCAGTGTGTAAGGCCAGGCACGATGAAACCCTATGACTGAATTATGAAGTCTAATCTCAGATTTTTCTAGTCTTGCCCTCATTAGGGGACAGTAATGTGAAGTGGAAGAATATTAGAGAAACGTGAAATTTGAGTATTTAAAATAAGTCACTGAGTACATAAGACAACCTCGAAGGCAGGGGGAGAAACTAGGCCTTATCCATACAAGTCTTATGAGCAAGAAATCTCTCAGTCACTTGAACAACACTTTGTAAAAGTTTCTTTTGCTACCACTGTTCCCTTCCCCTTCCATATGTGTATGCCCCAGCTCTCCACTCCTACTGAGGTGCTAGTCCAATCTTCTCCATCAATTGCCTAAATTCTGCCCACCCACCCTAGTTTACATCTTCTTCTCCAAATCCTCCTCTGTTCAATTGTTCTCCTACACATACCAGCCCACCCAGGTCTCTGTTTTTAGTCCCAGCCAGTATTTCTTCCTGCTTTCCTTTCTTACTCCCCTCTGCCCTCTGGATGCCACACATCTGTTACTGGCAGATCTCCCAGCACCAGTGTAACTGTTATCACAGCACGCTGAACACTCAGTGTCCAAGAAAATACCTCCTCATGAATTTTACCATTGCATGAATTCACACTGCCGACCAATGAGTGTTCTTTCAATGTGACGGACGTAAACTGCATTGCTCAATGCTTTTGAATAATAAACAGCATGGTCTTGACAGAGCAGGATGAGCAATACCACCATTGTTGGCCTAGTCTAATCTTGGCATGCCTATTTTAATTTTGCACAACGTCTAGCAAAACTACATCTGCCAGTGTCACAGACGTTAACAGAAAAAAGAAAATGAATAATTCCATATTCACTGTAGAGACTTCACATTGTCAGGAAATAAAGTATTAAATGGCAGCACAATAAATTTGTAGGACAAGAGAGAGCGTTTAACAATTATCTTAATGTAAGACACTGTTGACCTATGTATTGAAATTAATGACATACATAAAAGTGTCCTATGATCAAGTGCCTAAAGATCATAATACTATATAATCTTTTCCTTTCCTCAACACATCTATAGAAGTCACTAAAAGTTGCACATGTTAGATTTGGACAAAAATACTATAATCGAAATAGCATTATGTTAAATAACACTACAGGAACAGGAAACTATTGATTCAGCTCTTGTTACATTTACTCCAAAATCAGATTGGTAAAATACTAGCGAGGAGCAAAAATATGAGAATTTGTTCCAAAATGATTGCATTTCAGGAGGAAAAAGTGTTTCTGGTCTGTGAGCTCAAGTCACATGTCAAAGATCAAACTATGGCTCTTAAAAATAAGTACAGAGGAGCAGAGGGGAAAGTTCACATTCTGAAGTTTTGAGATTACCATCCCCATCTCTCAGCAACCTCTCCAATGGTAGCAGTGTTGCTCTATGCTGAATTCATGCTTTCTTCTTGCAGCTCACAGTTTACTGCCTTCACAAATATTGTTCTTGGTGCTATGACACAAGCTCTCGAAGCTAAACCAAGGACACATTTGCTTAACCTTCAGCAAAAGAACATGGAGAAGACAGCAAACTCTGAAAGAGCTTCAGCATGAATCACTGACCTTCCCCGTTGGAAGCTGCGTTACTGACTCTGATGCAATACTTAGGAAACCTGAAGTCCGTAACTACCCCACTATTCCAATACGGTCAGGCTACACAGTTAGAAATAAACGTTGAGGCAGAAAGCCGTGGAGCATTACACACCTTGCTACCCTCCCCAGTACTCTACCATTAAAAGAAACCTGTAAAGACACAGAGTATGGCTTGGAGAAAAGCACCCTTGGTATTACCAGAAGTTGGGAGACAAGCTTCTACCTCTGTGCGCGCAGCCAAGGACGGTTACACCGCCCACCAGGAAACCCCGGCTGAAGGACTGCCTTCTCCCCTGGAGGGCTCTCAGCCATGACCAGGCAAACCCACGCTCGGCAACCAGCTGCAAAACTGCTCCGGAGCCACCGCCCGCCTTATGGCCCCGGTACCTCC